GAAGAAAGAGGGGAGAAGGGAAAGGAGGAAGAAAGAGAGAGGGAGGGGGAGAAAGGAGAGAGAAGAAAGGTGAAAGGGAAAGGGAGAGAGAAGAAAGAGAGAAGAAGGGAAAGGGAAGAAAGGGAGATGGGGAGAAAGGTAGAGGAAAGGATAGGGGAAGCGGGGAGAGAAGGGGAAGGACAAAGGGAGAGAGAGGGGAGAAGGATGGGGGAGAAGGAAAGAGGGAAAGGGAGGGAGGGAGAAAGGAGAGGAAAGGAAAAGAAGGAAGAGAAGGAGGAAAGAGGGGGAAAGGGAAAGAAGGAAAAGGGGGAGAAGGGAGTAAAAGGGGGGATGGAGAGAGGGGGAGGGGAGAGAGGGAAGGAAAGGAGGAAGAAGGTGAACAATTAGTAAAAACAGGAAAGGGGGAAAGGTAGAGGGAGAGGAGTGGGAACAATGGAGAGGGGAAGGGGGGGAGAAGGGAAGATGAGTGAGAAGTTAAATGAGATGAGAGGAAAGGGAAAGACCGGGGGAGAAGAGAGGAGAGGGGGAGTGAGGGGAGCCGGCCTGGCACAAGGCTGTGGTCCTCTGCATATTTATGGCTCTGCTGAGGAGAGGGGTGGGAGGAAGGAGGGGAGATGGATGGGGGAGCAGGGGAGGGGAGCAGCCAGGAAAACACGAAGCTGAAAAGCAGCACTGCTCTGGTCCCTTGGTGGCAGGCAGCAGGCAGGCGCTGAAGCAGAATATCAAGCAGGTGGGGGGGTGCAGGCCCAGGAGCTCCCCCTCCTCAGCTGACTGGGGAGCTCAGTGAGGAGTGAGGGGTGGGGGCAGGGGCTGGGAGCCCACACAACAGCTAGCCATGGTCAGTGACCCGCCCCTACCGGGGAGGGGGGGCTTCAGAGGGACACTCCTCGGGGCTTGCCTCATCTAACTCAGCATCTTTGGCTCCAAGCTCTGTGGGGGAAGGGGGAAGCTACTGATGAATTTTTTATCCAGCATGGTACCAGGGATGGAGGGGGGATGGGCACTTCAGGGCCCTGCCATGGGAGGTGAGTGCCAGAGAATGGAACCTGAACTGCCCTGCTGAGATGGACCCCACCACAGGGTGGGACAGTGGACAGTGCACTGGCTCTGGAATCAGAGGGCCTGGGTTCAAATCTTACCTCTAACACCCCGCCCCAGGCTTCAGTTTCCTCACCTGTAAAATGGGATCTACATGGGGTCTGAGGTGTCTCTCAGCTCAAGATCTATGATCCTAAATAGAATCCTATGATCTGATGAGCTAAGTTTGAGTCTTGACTCTGACACTGCCTGCATGACCTTGGGTGAGTCCCTGAGCCTCAGTTTCCTGATCTATAACCTGAGAGAAGTGGAGCGGTCTCTGTCTGAGGTCTCTCCCAGCTTGAGCTCTAGGCGCCTATGGTCCCATCCCTTCAGGTGACTGTCGCCGAGGTCTCTGTCGTGACCTGTGGCCCCGGGGTACCTGTCCTGCTTTCTATCGAAGGGCAGGGAGTCGGTGCCCGGCCCAAGGAGAGAGAGCGCACCTCCAGCCGCTTCACTTGGGTCTTCTCAAACTCCAGACGAGTCTCCAGCTCCCGGATCTTGGCCTCCTGTCGGCTCACCAGCGACTTGTCCACCATGGACTGCTCCAGGTACTCCACTTGGCTCTGGAGGGCTTGCATCTGGGAGGAAGCGGAGGAGGGGAGGGAGAAATCACCGAGGGCCTTTCCCAGCCCAGGACGGGGAAGGGAGCAGGGTCTGCGGGGGGGCTTCATCCCAGCAGTGACTGGCCGCCCACAAGAAGAGATACTGAAGGGGGCTCTGGACGAGCCAGGCCAGAATCTTCTCCTCCTGCCCCGGGCATTCCGTCCCCTGGTCTACCTCTCTCTATAGAGAGCAGAAGGGAAACTCAGGACCCAAAGGGAATCAGACAAAGGAAACGAGGAAGATCTCAAGGCCTGCCAGTGGGCTCCTCGGGCATGCTTCCTTCCTGCCTGACAGCCAGGGCCGCCGTGTTCTCCCTTCCCCAGTACACAGGGGTCCCAGCATCCCCTTCTCCAGCTAGCCGAATGCCCGGTACCTTCTCCTGAAACTCCTGCTTCTCCTTGTTGGCCTCGTCCAGCTGAATCTGGAGGTCATTCATTTGGGCAAGGTCCCGGGAAGCCTGGGGAAAGAATGCACAATGTAACCCCAGAGCGGGGAGACTTTGGTATTTTTGCCTCTATATCTGGAGGCAAAGCTCTGTCTCCCCAGGCCAGAGCCTGACACACAGTAGGGACTCAATAAATGCTTGTGGGATTGTTTTATGGAAAGAGGCCTAGACGGACAAGTCCTACCCCAAACATCAGAGACAGAGACACACTCCCCTCCCACCTGAGCCACGTGGCACCATCCCGGCACGGGACATGCCTTTGATATCTATTGATCAATCAAGTATTTATTAAGTACCTACTGTGCACCAGGCATTATGCTAAGTGCAAAGAATGAAATAATCCCAGCCCTCAAGAAGTTTCCATTCTAAGAGGGAGACGATAAGGACATATATAAATGAATGCAGAAATGAAAAGAAAATCGATAGTTAAACACAAGGCAGCTTGGGAGGGAGCGCACCAGCACCTGGGGGATCAGGAAAGGCCTCGTACCTGAGTTTCGTCTTGAAGGAAGAAAGGGGGTCTATGAGGTTAAGGTAAGGAGGGAGGGCATTCCAGGCATGAGGACCGGCCAGTGCAAAGGCAAGGAGAGTGGAGATGAGAGTCACGTGTGAGGAGCAGAGAGGAGAAAGATAGCTTGGCTGTACTGAAGAGCCCTGGGGAGCTAATGTCCAGTGAGGCTGGAAAGATAGACTGGGGCCAGGTCATGAGGGGCTTCAGAAGCTTAACAGTGGAGTTTATGGTTTGTCCTCAGGGCAATAGGGAGCCACTGGTATTTATGGAGAGGAGCAGTGCCAGGTCAGATCTGTGCTCAAGGAAAAGAAGCCAGGGAGAGGGAGGGCAGGCAGGCGGGGCAGTACCTGGGCCACAGCGGCCTTATGCTTCTTCATGAGCTCGTTCATGTCCTCTTGGTCCTCCTCCAGCCGGCTCTGGATCTCATTCTTCTCACGCTGAAGGCGGCTCACCTGCTCCTCTAGCTGGGGAGAGGCAGGAGACAGGACCGTCAGGGCCCAGCCAGAAAAGGTGGACTCGATCTGTGCTGCCCCTGAGGCAATGGCCTAAGCCAGGCTGCTGGTGCTCTGTCCAGCATTGGCTCCTCAGCCATAACCAGTGTGCAGAGTGCAGGACCCGGGTTCAAATCCTGCTTCTGACACTTACTACCTGTGGAACCTGGAGCAAGTCAAATGAGACTGAGTTTTGTCCCACCCCCCTCCTTCCCCATGAGACTGTGAGCTCCTTGAGAGCAGGGATTATTTTTCACCTTTCTTTGTATCCCTAGCATAGTGCCTGGCACACAGTAGGTGCTTAATTAATGTTTATTAACTGTTGGATGATTTCTTCTTGGAGGCCTCAGTTTCTTCGTCTATAAAATGAGAGGGGTAGTGTATGTGGTCTCTGAGGTCCCTTTCAGCACTAAACAAGTCAATGATCCTATTTCTTCTCTGGGCCTCAGTTTCCCACTTCATAAAAGGAGAGGGTTAGACGAGATGGTGTTTGAGGTCCTTCTTGGTCTTGCTTTTTCTATACATCTCAGCAGTAAGGAACCATGGGAAGAGCCTGAGACCCAGAGTCAGGAGGCGTGGGCTCTCGCCCCAACTCTCCTCAAAGCTGTGTGACCTTGTGCGGGTCACTGAACAACCCTGGGCTTTGGTTCATCTTCGGTAAATGGGTGGTTGTACTAGGTGGTGTCTGAGACCTCTTCTAGCTCTAAATCTACGATTCCATCTATACTTCTAGGAGCCTGCGGGCGAAGTTTGAATCTCGCTTCTGACACTTACTCCCTGTATGACCTTGGGCAAGTCACTTAACCACGTTGGACCTCAGTTTCCTCATTGTAAAATGAGGGAGTTGGTTTAGATGGTCTGAGGGCCCCCCTTGTTAGAGATCTGTGAACAGGCACCACTTATAGAGAGTAGAACAAGGGGGGGGTGCGTTTTGCCCACATCCTCAGGCTGAGCTGCTTCGTCACGCCAGGGTCCAGTGCCCCCCAGGGTATGACGGACCTCCCAGGGAACCTCCCTGCCTTCATGAGGAGTGTCTCAGGGGAAGTCCCCAGAACCGACCCCTGGGAGAGACTGAAGGAATGCACTCTGCATGGAGCAAACAGATTGGAGGAAAGACTGATCCCCTTAACCTCGATGACGCCCGTGGGTAAAGCACTTGGGTCTCCAAAGAGGCTCCTGAGACCTGTGCCGGGCTCCTTAAGAAAAAGGTCTGCTTTGTATTCCCCCCTCTCCAAGGCCGGTCCCGGCTCCCACCGCACCCCCATCTCACCCACTCCTGGGGGGAGAGGGGCGGGGAGGAGACAGCCAACGGAGGCACCAGCAAATGAACGAATCTATTAGCCCGTAATTCCAAACCAAAACGACTGCGTTGGCTCCTTCTCTGCCCCATCCATCTTGTTACCGGGCTGTGGGGAGCTGGGAAAGGCTCCGCCAAGAAATTTATTAACTCGGATTTAAATAAAATGGTAATTCTGTAACAGCCTTTTTTAACGCAATTAGGGAGTTTGAATCACTCACCTGCAAACTGCTGAGGAGCGCAAATGCCACGGGGATAAATCAAACCCACGAGATTGGCACCTCTCGATCGCCCCGGGGCTGGCAGGGGCGAGGAGGGGGGGAGCTCTGTCCTGGGCGCCCAACAGCAACTGCCTCAAACCCTCTGCCCCTTCCTAGTGCTGGCCCCCATCCCCCGGCCCCAGGCAGGTGTCTGTGGTTCAAATCACCATAATGAATTCTCTGTCGATGGGCCGAGAGGGAGGCGAGGAATTAAAAAGAAGACATTAAATAAGGCTCTAATTACCCAGCGCTTTCCATCAGCAGCCGGCCTGGGCAGGCGGGGAGGGGGGAAGAGCAACCTTCCCTCTTATGGGCACTTCTGCGAATCTCTGGGTGCCTGTTTACATCACCCGCCACATTAGCGGCCTTTATTTATGACGCTGCGGCTGCGGCCAAGCCCTCCAACACAGGTGATTAAATAGGGAGGTGGGACCTCCCTGGGCCTGATCCCAAGCCCCCCGTATGGGGGCAGAGTTCCCCACTCGAGGGGTAGGAGGCTTGGAAAGAGAAGAAGTTCATTTCAATGGCCCTGATCCAAGGCGGTAGGGAAGGGAGCTATTTAACTACAGAAGCTGGTGGAATGACCCCTAGCTCTGACATCAGAGGGCCTGGATTCGAATCCCAACTCTGACGCCTACTACAGGCGTGACCTTGCTCTGTCTGACCTGATGAGCTCTGAGGACCCTTCCAGCTGGAAATCTGGGATGGATGATTCTCAGAACGAGGAAGAGGAAATGAGGAGGGGGGAGATGGGGCTGTCTGAGATGTTGCTCGATTTTGGAGTCAGGAGACTTAGGTTTGAATCCCATCTTCAACATTTACTACCTGTATTGGATGTCACATTACCTCCCCAGGCCTCAGTTTCCTTAACTGTAAAATGAAGCTGAGATTTCCACCTTCTAGATTTATAACCGCCTGTATAACCTTGGACAGAACACTTTGTCTCTGGTGACGAGGGAGGTGAATGGAAAGTTTCTGAAGGGCAACTGCTCTGGATGGGGTCGACAAGCTCCATCTGACTCTGGCCCCCGCTGCCCACCAATGGCCGCGTCATCTCCCGTCCCCGAGTTCTTACCCCCGTCTTGGCTTTGGAGATGTCATCAATCTGGAGATGGAGGTCTTCAATCTCCACCTCCATGGCTTTCCTTGCCTTCACAGCTGCCGCACAGGTGAACTCTGACTCTTCCAGCTAGACAAAGGGCCCAACCCGCCCCAGGAACAGATGGTCAGAGATGCCCGCCCTAGCTGTAAGGGCAGCCAGGCCGTGCAGTGGACAGAGCGCTGGGCCTGGAGTCAGGAAGACCTCAGGCCTACCTACGTATCTTTCTATCTCTGTATCTATCATCCACGCATGTATCCATCTACCTATTGATTTTCTTAGATATCATCTATTTTCCTAGCTATGTATCTATCATTGATGTATGTATCTATCTACCTATCGATTTTCTTAGATATCATCTATTTTCCTAGCTATGTATCTATCATTGATGTATGTATCTATCTACTTATCGATTTTCTTAGATATCATCTATTTTCCTAGCTATGTATCTATCATTCACGTACATATCTATACCTATTGATTTTCTTATTTATCATCTATCTTTCTATCTATGTATCTATCATTGATGTATGTATCTATCTACCTATCGATTTTCCTATATATCATTTATCTTCCCATCTATCTAAATGTCTTCCCTGTATCTACATGCACCTATGTACGTGTGTATGCATCTGTCTTCCCGGCTATCTTTCTATAGATTATCTGTCTATAAAGATACTTACTAGCTCTGTGACCCTGAGCAAGCCACTTTTACCTCTGTCTGCCTCAGTTTCCTCATCTGCAAAATGAAGGTTGTAACAGCACCTACCTCTCAGGATTGTTTGGAGGATAATAATGAGATAATGATTATAAAGCGCTTAGCATGATGTCTGGCATATATAGTTAAGTGCTTTATTATTGTTATTATTATTATTCTTACCATGTCTGTGTGGGCACCTCCTAAAGGGGGAGGGAACATACAGAATGTTTCTCTTTTTTCTTTTTCTCATCTTTGCATCCCTAGCACAGTGCCTGGTACATAGGAGGCACTTAATAAATGCTTGTTGAATGAAGGTATGCCAGAGTGATTTGGCAATTTTTTATGACAGGCTTTGAAATCTAGTGGGGAGGCATGTGGGACCGTAGATTTAAAGCGGGTAGGGTCATAGAGGGGATTCTTCCTCCGGCCTAGTGGCACCAAGTGGCCTCCCACTCCTGAAAGTCTGTAATGCCAATTCTATGATCCTATTGACCAAGCGGGGAACGTTGGGTACAGGTTGGGGGTGTCGCTTCAGCTGCCTCTGAGGGGGGAGGCCCTGGGACGACTCTGTCTCTCCTTTCCCAGGGGATCAAGCTCAAGAATGATAGCAGAATAGCCGATCGCAATGTGATTGAACACATTTGTGAGTGAGTGTAAACTCCTATACACGGGGCACTATGCTCACATCAGTGGGGTGGGCAGAGCCCTGACTGGCCGGACCCTGGGGGCCTGGGTTTGAATCCTGACTCTTGGTGACGTAGCACTTGTGTGACCTTCCTAGGCCTCACTTTTTCCTGGGGAAGGGCTGGACTGGAGGATTTCCAATGCCCCTCCAGCTCTGCAGGCCTGGGGCTAGCGCTGGGGCGTCTCTCAGAGGTACCTGATTCTTGAGCTGGGCAATCTCCCTCTTGCTGGGCGCACTGTTCTTCAGGTGGTCCAGCATGATCTGGGCATCGGCCAGCAGGGCCTTGGTCCGTTTCAAGTCCTTCCGCAGACGCTTCTCAGACTCCACGTCCCGCTGACTCACCTGCGTGAACGCGGGCTGTGAGGCCTTGCTGGCCACCTCCCCGCCATTCCCCAATTTTACTCCTGCTACTTCAGGAGGGACCCCTATCTTGTTCACCCCCCAGGCTGCTCACCAGCTGCCTTCCCACCCTGGAGAAACCCCCGCCCTGTGGCCCTACGCTCCTGCTGGGGACCCCCTAGCCCGGACACGTTCCAGGAGAGGGCCCAGCCATGATTCCCTCCATTCCCTGAACTTCTCCCCTCACTCACCGGCTGGCACCCCCCTTCCCCTCTCCCAGATCCCCTAAATGGGCCGCCTTTTCCCATTAGAGGGTAGGGTCCTTGAGGTGGGGCCTGTCTTGTTAGCCTGTATGTACGTCTTCAGGCCTTACCACAGCGCCCGGCACATAGTAAGAGCTTAATAAACGCCATCCCTATCAATCAATTTATCTGTGTATCTATCATCTGCGTATGTATGTCCGGGTGTATGTGGGCATCTATTTCCCGGTTATCTTGTCTGTCTATTGCTTTCTCTTCTCTCTGACTCTATCCATCCATCCACCTTATCTATCTACCCAATTATCTTATCTATTTCTCTGTAGAGAAATATTTATCTCTTTCTCTGTATCTCTATCTACCTACCGCCTAGCTTCCTATCTATGTAACTATTGTGCTCTCTCCCCCACCTGTCTGTCTGTCTCTCTTCCTCTCCATCTCTCCCCCCCATGTGTCTGTCTGTCTCTAGAGTACCTCTTGGGGCCATTCCTGGGCGGGGGGCTTGGCCCAGCCCTCCAACCTCCATGACCCAACATGGCTAGTGACACTTGAAGGATGTGGGGCAAGGGGCCAGGCACTGCCTGCTGCCATAACTGCCTCCCAGCTGGGCCCACCCATGCCCCGCCCCAGCCCCGCCCCACCTGGTCACTCAGGGCTGTGAGCTTGCTCTCCAATTCCCTCTTCTCCCGCAGAACCTTCTGCTTGTCCTCATACTCTTCCTCCAGCTGGGCTTCCATTTGCTTCAGCTAAAGCCACAGGGTAAAAGGAAACATTGGCTTCCCTGGTCTCCATCAGCACGTCCAAGGAGGAGGAATCATGGCCCCCCCCGCATCTGACTGGGTTCCCTCTACACGAGGGGAACAAAACGGGGTGAGAATGGGACTGACTGGGTGCACGGGCTCTAAATAACGGTGGTTCTCAGTGCCCAGGACAGCCTCTCCAGGCCTCAGTTTCCTCACCTATAAAGTAAGGGGGTTGGGCGAGGGGACCCGGAGGTCCCTTTCAGCTCTTATCATAGGCCCAGAGGCCAGGGACAGCAGACCACACCCAAAGGCCATTCAAAGTGGACAGCAGACGGTCACGCCTGAGTAACAATTGGGAAGACCCAGAGGCCAGCGGGGCCGAGGTCAATCCCCAACCTTCTCCTCCACAGATCGCCCTAGAGCAGCGGGCACCTGGCTGGCACGGGCGGTTAAGGCTGCTGGCAGCAGAGGCAGCCTGGAAAGGCGAGGAATCTCTTGATTGTGACCCTCTAGAGCAATTTGCAGAGGACTGCAAGATGCCAGGCCTGGCCAGGCCCTTCTGGGGAGGGTGGAGAGGATGTGGTGGAGTGACAAGTGCCCAAAGACCCGGGGAGGGTGGAGGGGGCAGGGAAGCCCAGATGCCAAGTCCCGGCAGCAGGTGCACCACGCAGGCGGCCTCACCTTCTTCTGGCATGACTGGCGGACCTCCTCCACTTCCTCGTCGCGGCCCTCGATCTCCTTGGAGTGGGTCTGCCTCGTGCGCTCCATCTCCATCTCCAGGCGAAGCTTGGCCTGAAGGCGCGGGGAGGAGGGATCCGTCAGGGTAGCTCATCCCCAATAGTCCAACACAAATCAATCAAGCAACAAGCGCTTATTAAGCTCCTACTGTATGTCAGGCAGTGTGTTAGGTCTTGGGAATACAGTGACAAAATGTGACCATCCCTGCCCTCAAACAGCTTACATTCTATTATACTCTTTTCAAAGTGGGTTTTTATGAATATATTTTGTCTTCGGGCCCCTCCCAAGTCACAGCACTCTTCTGTATTCTATTCTGTTCCAACCCACGTACAAACGTGTCCTGGACCAGACCCACGATTGATTTCACTGGCGCACTCTACTAAGGCAGGCTGGCTCCAGCCCTGCTTCTCCTGCCCAATCTTAAAGAGTTGCCTGAGGCAGTAAGACAAGAAGTGACTTGCCCAGGGTCACTCAGCCTGAGGGTGCTAGCCTAGGGACTTGAGTGCAGGTCTTTCTGACTCTGGGGCTAGCTCTCTCTTCACTGTGCCACACTGCCCATCAGAGATACATACAGAAGTAGACAGAAAATCTTGTACAGTACAAACAAATAAGGGAGGGTTTTTGGGGGGGTGGGGGGTGGGGGGAGGCAGTAGTAGTTGGAGTCAAGAAAGGTTTCACGGAGGAAGAGTCACTTGAGCTGAGCTTTGAAAGAAACCGGAGATTCTAAGATGGGGAGGTGAGCATGGAGTGCATCGGGGCACAGCCTGGGCAAAGGTATGGAGATGGGAGATACAGTTTCATGAGGGACGACTGGATCAGCTAGGGGATCAGCTACTCCCCTTTAATCTCACCTCTGTCTCTTACATGGACCCAGTTGGGTGGCTGGCCTTTCTGGATAAGGCAAATGCCCTTGCCGGATGGCTGGCCCACTACAGAGAAGCCAGAGCAGGCTTACACCAGGAAGATCAAATATGGCAGGATGAGCTATTAGACAAGAGGGCATGGGGCTTCCTAAAGGTTTCACCCTCCTGGGGTCATTTTCCTGTTCAGAAGGGGGTGCCCGTGGCTCTCCAGGCTGGGTGAGAAGGCTGGTATTTATGCCTTGGGCCTTTCACAAAATTCCCTGACTACCCAGGCAACTAACTAGGCGAAGCAGTGTACTGGGCCCAGAATCAATGAAATCTGAGTTCAAATCCAGCCTCAGACATTCACTAGCTGTAGGGCCCTAGGTAAGTCACTTAACCTCAGTTCCTCAACTGTGATATGGGGATAAAAATAGCTACCACCTTCCAGAGCTGTTGGAGGGACAAAATGAGCTATGTGTAAAGCAGCACAGTGCACGGCATGCAGGAGGTGCCTAATAAATGCTGGCTGTTCTGGTAATTATTTCCAGTCACATTCAAACCCCAGCCCAGGAGATGAGACACATGGAACTAGTCCCCTTGCCTTCCCCGAGCCGCCCTAAACACACCCCTCCCATGTCTCACCCTGGTCAGGGTGGGCTGGCCTAGCCTATCAAACTAAAAGGCTGAAGCATGACCCTGAAGACAGGGTGAGAGAGTATGCCTCCTTCTTTTCTTTGTGAAGGGGAGATACCGTGGGTGTAGAATACTGTACATACCATCGGACTGGGGGATGTGTTAGTGAATTCTGCTGATCAGCTTCTGACTTTCTCTTTTATTCTTTCCAAAGAGCTAGCTATCAGGGCAGCTAGGTGATGCAGCGGATAGAGGAATGGCCTTGGAGTCAGGAGGACCTGAGTTCAAATCCAGCCTCAGACACTTGACACTTACTAGCTGTGTGACCCTGGGCAAGTCATTTAACCCCAATTGCTTCCCCCTCACCCACAAAAAAAAGAAAAAAAAGAGCTAGCTATTTAAGTGGGGAAGAAGAGGAAAGACATATTGGGAAGTGTAGGTGATGGAAAAATGAAAGACATTAATTAAAAAAAAAAAGAAAATAGTTTGCCGCCTCCCACAGGCATCTAGCTGGGCTTTGTAAGCAGGGTTAAAATGAGGCCCTTTCTCCCCTACCAACCTGGGTGAGGAGATGCAGACAACAGAAGTGTCAGAGGCAATGTGGTGTGGCAGGGGTTGCATCCCAGCAGACGTGGGATTAAGGAAAACCTGGGTTTGAAACCCACCCTTGACATTAACTAGCTGTGTGATCCTGGGCAAGCCACCTCCCCTCTCTGGGCCTCAGTTTCCTCAACTATAAAATGAGGATGATATTAGCACCTACCTCACAGGGGTGTTGTGACGATCAAACTGACCTGTAAAGAGCTTAGCACGGTGCCTGGCACAGAGGAAGCCCTCAGGAAACGCTGCGCTCCTTCCTTCCTCTGACAGCCCCTGGTTCCCTCTCTATCAGTGCCCCCTCTCTCCCCTTACCTGCTCCAGCATCTGGATGGTGCCCGCCTGTTCATCGAGCTCCTCTTCCTGATCTTTGGTCTTGGCTTCCAGGTCCCGGAGCTGCTTCTTGATCTTGGCCAGAGAGGCTTCGTCCTTGGACTCCTGAGAAGAGATGTCCTGGAGCTCCGCCTCCAGGGAGACCACCTTCTGGGTGAAGCCAGCAATGTCCATGTCTTTCTCCTGGAGCAAGAGAAGAAAACAGGTCAGCTGGGAATGAGGATGGGGTTGGCGAGTTTGGGACACCACTGGTGGGGGCTCAGAGTCCATCCTCACTTCCATCTGCTGTTTCAGGCTGAAGACTTCAGCCAGGAGGGCGTCTTTCTCCCGGTTCAGTTTCTCCCGTTGTAGCTTCTCTCGCTGGGTCTCTTCGTGAGCCTGGGAGAGCTCACTGTCGAACCTGGAACAGGACAGAACACGTGGCGGTGTAGACCATCAGACTGAGAGGAGGGACTTCTCCAGAGATGACTAGGGAGTTGTGGGCAAGGAAACAGCATGAGAATCCTGGCAGAAAACTGACTCTTGAGATCTTGAACTGGAAATTACCTTGGAGACCACCTAATCCAACCCCTTCATTTTACAGAGGGAGGAAACTGAGACTCAGGGAAATTAAGTGACTTGCCCAAGGCCACACAGGTGGTAGGATTTCAACCCAGTTCCTCTGACTCCAAAGCCAGTCCATTTTGCAGGGTACTACACTGTCTCTTTGATATTTGTGGGCAGGGGCAGCTAGGTGGTACAGTGGACAGAGCACTGGCCCCGGAGTCAGGAAGACCTGAGCTCAAATCTGGTCTCAGACACTTCCTAGCTGTGTGACCCTGGGCAAGTCACTTAACTCTAATTGCTTAAAAAAAAAAAAGATACTTGGGGGTAGACAGCGATCCCAGATCAAGCTGTGGCCCTGTAGTAGCTAACCCTCATCTCCCCTCCCTGGGGCAGTCAGGGCTTGGGTCATTTATTCTGCCCCATAGACATGAAAGCCCCAAGGCTTTCACCTGAGAGGCAGCACGGGACCTGGAATCAGGAAGACTTGGGTTCAGATCCAATCTAAGACACTAGTAGTTTGACCTCTCCGGGCCTCAGTTTCCTCATCTGTAAAATGAGTGGTTTGGACTCCATGGCCTCTTAACTCCCTTCTGGTTCTGAATGTTTGATCCCGTGACCTCCGGGAGCAGGCCCTGGCCACGCTGGTGGTACAGGTGGCCGGGCGTGCTTGCTTTGACCGCTGGGAGCAGCCGGAGACATCCCAGGCCCACGTCACCCTGCACTCCCTGCCAAGGCTGCCGCTCCCCTCCCCCCTGCCTCCCCATGGTGCCCATTGGCAGCGTGCTTCAGCGGGCACATGGTTGGGGGGCCTCTTTCTTTACTCCTTCACTCAAGTCTTTCATTTCCCACCCAGAAACCCTAAATAACGAGCACATTGCTGAAATTCCTCTTAACACCTTCTCTGAATAGCTAATGAGGCAGTCCCATCGAAAAATGAAATGCTCTCCCACTCCCTCCACAAACTCGGGGCAGCCAGACCTAATAGCTCCCAGCGGGGAGCTCGGGAGCGCGTTAACCAGCCTGGGCTGGCGCTATCGCCCAGGGGGCTCAGGGGAGTTCTTAGATAGGTCCTGCTGAAGTTGCCTGTCTCTGGGGAGAAGAGGGGTCATGGAGGCTGCTGGGGGGAAAGGAGTGGGAGGGATCTACAGGGGAATCAGTCCCTGAGAACTCAGGACCAGGTGGTCCAGTCTCGTTAACGGTGAGCCCAAAGACGGCCCCTTCCAGAGCTCCCGCCACTCAGCAGACACCGTCCTTACTGAAGATCTCAGAGGCATGAACTGGTCAACAGGCCAGTTGGAGGAAGGTGTACCCAGGTGGCCCGAGCCTTTTGGCATTGGCGGAGGGACCTCTCCTGGCCATCCCAGTGGAACTGGGATCTGTTCTCATCTCCTTGGGGTTCCCCGTCCTCCCTGGGAGGCAGAGGCGCCTAAGCTTTCCCTCCTCTCCTAATGAAGAAGCCCCCACTAGGGAAATTAATTTAGATTGGATTCCCTCCAGTGAGGGCGGTGGCCCCCCTCCTTTGTGTCATTACCATAATGAGATGGAAGTATCTCTCGCTCTGCAGTTTAACGACATCAGAGTCAGGAGGGGGGGTTTGTGTGTTTGTGTAACTGAGTCAAGCTGAGTGAAGGGGACCGGGGCTTTCAGGGGCTAGGGAGCAGGGGCTGGTGGGGCCTTCAGGGAAGGGGGAGACCTCAGCTGCTGCTCTGTCCCACGAGCGGGACTGCCCCAATAACGGGGTGAAGAGTGGGACCCCAGAGTGATCACAATGGGCTACCTGCCTGGCCTGGCTACCGAGGCCTGCACCCCCAGTTTATTCTGAAGGCTCATCACAGATGTGGAACCAGTCCCTCGCCCAACTCCCAGTATGGCGGAAGAGGCCGTGCTCATGTTTCCCTTCTTTTCTCCCCATTCCAGGGTGGGGGCCCTGTACGGCGTATCAGGGATCTCTTAGCATGAGGGACTTGGGGCGTCCCTGCCTTGACGCCCTCGGCCGCTGGAAGCCGGGGGAGGGGCCCCCGTGTCACCCACCTCCTCTGCTTCTTCTCCAGCTCATGGTTGCGGACCTGCTGACCCTCCAGGTGCAGCCGGGTGTCCTGCAGCTCCGCCGTGAGCCGCTGACACTTCTTCTTCAGCTGCTGGTGGGTGCGCTGGCTCTCATCACTGTCTGCCTGCAGGTCTACCAGCTGTGGAGCCAAAGCAGAGAGAGGGAGAGGGGAGTCAGGGCAACTCAAGGGCCGTGGAGCAGTGGAGCAACATGTGGGGGATGAGTGCGGGGGGAGAGAGAGGAAAGAGGAGGAAGAGAGAGGGGAGGGAGGGAGAGGGAAAGGAGGAAGGGAGAGAAAGGGAGGGAGGGAGGGAGAGAAGGAGGGAGGGAAGGAGAGAGAAAAGGAGGCAGAGGGAGAGGAAGTGGAGAAGGAAAGAGTGAGAGAGGGAGGGAGAGAGAGAGGAGGAAAGGAGAGAAAGGGAGGGAGGGAGAGAAGGAGGGAGGGAAGGAGAGAGAGGAGGCAAAGAAGGAGGAAAGGAGAAAGAGGAAGAGAGAATGTGTGAGAGAGGGAGAGAGAGGCAGGGAAAAGAGAGAGCAAGAGGGAGGGAGAAGGGGAGAGGGAGAGAGAGAGGAGAGGGAGGCAGAAAAAAAGAAAGAGAAAGAGGTAGGGAGAGGAGAGAGAGGGGGAGGGAGAGAGAAAAGAACAGAGGGAGGGAGACAGAGGGAGAGGGAGAGAAGAGGGAGGCAGAGAGAGAGTCAGAGGACAGAGAAAGAGAGAGGGGGAGGGAGGGAGAGGGGGAAGGAAGGAAAGGAGGAGAGAAGAGGCACAGGAAACAGAGATAGAGAGATGACAGAGAGAGAAGAGGGGGAAGAAGGAAGAAAGAAGGAGAAAGGGAGGGAGCGAGAGGGAGACAGGGAAGGAGGGGGGGAGAGAGAG